GAGAGAGACTAGAAGAGCCTAGGGGAAAGCCGGACGGAAAAGGTGCCGGAAGAAGCTATTGAAATCCTAGACATAGACTCGGATACGGACTGTGGGAAAGAAGTTAGGATTTAAAGTGAAAGCAAGAAGAAACTTAGACTCAGATACGGACTGCAGGTTGAAAGTGAAAGTGAAACCTATAAGAAACTTAGACTTGGATACGGACTGTGGGGAGAGGCCAGGAGAAATGAGGGAGGAATATTGTTGGAAGAAAACTTAGGGAAACATACCGGGTAGAGAAAAATGTTAGGGAGGATGAAGCCGCGAGTGCAGGCTGAGGCAGAGACAGAAGCCATCTTGGAATTCTTCAAGTCAGCCCGGGGAGCAAAAGGCAAAAATCTGGAACCAGAGGCAGAGACGTGGGCCGCCAGGTTGGAATTCGCCAGGTTAGTCCGGGGAACTTGGACTGAATACCGGTGGTGGCGGAAACGTGAGCTGTGCTGTGTGACTCATGGAAGCCGCCGTGTGCAGAGAGAGCACGGGGCGTGAATAGATAGGGAACGCGGGGCTGGCGCGAAGGCCGTGGTGCGGGCGCGAAGTGCGTGGAGACCGCGGAGTGTGCGCGTGAAGCCGAGCCGTGCAGAGCCGGGAGCCCGCCGCAGGGCGGGCGCCGGGAAGCCGCGCAGATGAGAGAAGCAGCTGAAGCGGCTCAGAGCCGGGAAGCCGCCGAGAAGCAGCCTCGGAGCGGGCGCCGGGAAGCCGCAGGGATAAGAGAAACAGAAGTATAGAAGTAAAATGAGAGAAATAGGAATGCTGGTAGATAGAAGTAAAATAGGAGAAATAGGAATGCCCGGAGATAGAGAAAAATAAGGCCTCCCCTCAACATGGCAATGAGAGAGCTTGGATTCGGTCTGCCTGATTAGGGAGGTGGTGAGCACCTGTGGGCGGCTAGCAGCTTATGCGCCGCAGGTCACCGAAGACAGGCACGAATTAACATCAATAAGTCTCCCCACAATACCGCAATGAGAAGGCTTGGATTCGGTCTGCCTGATTAGACAATAAGTACCTGCTGGCGGCTAGCAGCTTACCCGCTGCAGGTCACCGAAGACAGGCACGTTATCAACACCAATAAGTCTCCCCACAATATGGCAATGAGAAGGCTTGGATTCGGTTTGCCTGATTGGTAGGGCTTGTAAGCACCTGCAAGCAGTTCTAGCAGAGTAGAGCATGTGCTGCAGGGCACCGAACACAGGCACGCATCAGCGCCTAAAAGCCTCCTCACAACATGGCGAAGAGAGGACCCGGATTCGGTTTGCCTGATTGGTAGGGCTTGTAAGCACCTGTGGGCAACTCTAGCAAGCAGAGCAGAGTGTGTGCCGCGGGGCACCGAAGACAGGCGCGTATCAACGCCAAAAAATAAAAAGAAAGGGGGATCTGTAGGGAGCAACTCGGACTAGACTAAGTTACTGGAATTAAGACTTATTCTATGCATCTGCTCTCCCACAATATGGCGCTGAGAAGGGAGAAACAGCTTCTACACAGCTGCCTCCAGTTCAACCAATAAACTGTAGGAACTACTCCTGATTGGAGGAGAGCAGCGTACTCGGCGTGTGGGTAGCAGAGTTGGGATTGGTGGAAGAGGACTATAAAGGAGGAGAGAGACAACATGCACCAGGAACATCTAGGGGGAACATCTATCTGAAGGAACACCTGTGCAGCCCCCAAGAGAGCTGGCTGGCGGTGTGCCGCTCCCCCGCGGAAGTGGGGAATGTGGCAGGGGGAACCGCCCTTCCACGGAGGTGGAAGGGTTGGCAGCCAACCCGGGAAGAACCAGCAGCAAACCCGGGAAGGGCCGAGCAGACAAAAGAACAGCGCAGGGTCCTGTGTCGTTCCTCCACGAAGACGGGGAGCGACAACGTTTTACTTGTTTATTTGAAAGGCAGAGTTACAGAGAGGAAGAGGCAGAGGCAGAGGCAGAGAGAGACGGGTCTTCTATCCTCTGGTTCATTCCCCAAATGGCCACAATGCCCAGAGCTGGGACTACTGGAAGCCAGGAGCCTGGCGCTTCTTGCAGGTCTCCCACATTTGTACAGAGACCCAAGGACTTTGGCCATCCTCTACTGCTTTCAAAGGTCATAGCAGGGAGCTGGATCAAAGTGGAGCAGCCAGGACATTACTGGGTGCCCATATGGGATTCCAGAACTGCAGGCAGCAGCTTTATCCACTAAGCCACACTGCCAGCCCAGCATATACTTTTAATTAAATAGTGAGACATTATACACACATATTTATAGGGAGAGCAGCAGCAATTATATCATGCTTTTATTATTCTTATCTAGTTTTGTAAGATAAGCAATGTTTGAAAAAATTCTAGTTGACTGATGGCCATGAACTTGTTTACCGTTAATGCATACTTAGTAAACTAACACATTTAAGTACATATCTTCAAGATCTTCAGCCGATTCAATTTTGATTTTCTATTATAGGGTAAAATGCCTACAGACATTTTTGCAATGTCAATTGGCAGCCTCCTTGCGAATGGCATCTTTCACATTAATGTGCAAAGTATTTCATCGCCTCCTTTTCTGTGTATCTTGGTCAACTTCAATGTTTAAGGATATTGAAAAGGCTCAGAGAACTGAGGGATGAGTTTCTGTTGCATTTATATACGTTTGTATTGTTTTGACCTTACTGAGACTTAATACTGAACTTCACCTGCTAGGAAACAAACCTGCTATAAGCTATGTAAAGAATTTTTAATCAATCAAAAGACAAAATAGGTAGATGTGAGCCGTGTATAAAACTCCAACATGCTTTGTTGTAAGCCTTTCTCTAAAGTAAAAAGATTGGAAATTGAATTCTGGCTTATCCTCTTTTTAACTGGGAAACTTATTTAACCTTTCTCAACATTTATAAACCTCTCAGAAGTTATTATGAGAATAAACATGAATAATTTCATATGCACACATCACCTAATGCAGAACCTTACAAAAGGAGGCCCTGAATAAATCATATTTTGGAAAAGTGTAGTTAGAAGGTGTGAAGGGGCACCAAAGTCTTCAAGTATAGGAATATTCTTTTTTGTAGCAAATATATGCTGTTTTGTATTATCTTATACCACAATTGATCAGAATAATTTTATTAGTATGGGAACAATTTAAGTACAGCACAATTACCTAAGGGCAGCTGCTACTGTTAAATAGCTACCATATCAGTGTTCCTACACATAGAGAACTGTCTGTCTTTAGTAATTTTAAAGATAATTCAGCAAAATGATTTTTACTTATAGTCTTTTAAATTTTTTTAAAGTGAATGAATTTCATGTGTTTCGTACATACAGACTTAGGAGCAGAGTGAAACTGCCCACCCTACCCTCCCTCCTGCCCATGCTCCCCCCACCACCAACACCTCTTTCTTACTTTTTTATTCTTTCTTTCAACAACCTAAGTACAGTTTTTTGCAACAGTCTAAGTCCAGTTTATTTTATGGTCATAAGATTAACCCAACACTAAGTAAAGAATTCAACAAATAATAATAAGAAAAAAAAAAAAAAAAACAGGGACCAAGGCTGTGGCATAGTAAGTTAAGCCTCCACCTGCAGCGCCAACATCCCACATGGGCACTGGTTTGTGTCCCAGCTGCTCCTCTTTTGACCCCATCTCTCTGCCATGGGTTGGGAAAGCAGTAGAAAATGGTCCAAGTGCTCTGGCAGTTTTGGCCATTTGGGGAGTCAATCAGTGGATGAAAGAACTTTTTCTCTGCCTTTCCCTCTCTCTGTCTGTAATTCTACCTCTCAAATAAAAAAATATTTTAAAAAGAAAAAAAAAAACACTGTTCTTCAACAGTAGAGACAGGGACTATAAATAGTCATGAATCAAAAATGTCAATTTGCTCATAAACAGTATATTTTAGATACTCTGTTAGTTACCACAGCTCAGGGAAATCATACACTATTTGTCTTTTTGGGGTTGGCTTATTTCACTAAGTATAATGGTTTTTCACTTATATTCTGATAACATTTTGTAAGGTGATGGTATACATTTGTAACATTAAGACAATATTTAAAAAGTGATTGGCGAATAGCTTTGAAAGCAGTCAAGTGGATGCTGGAGCTGGACTTGAGATAATTGATGGGTAAACATTCAAATGTTGCCCACTTGTGGTTAACCATTGGTAGCTTGATATAGGCCATGGTGAGAATATTTACACCAAGGAAATTGACAAATGCTACAGATCCAGATCTTCCAACTTCAGGCATGCAGTCATGGCTTTCCAGAAACTACTGAGATGGAAACATCTGCTTAAATGCCAGTTTTAACGTTAATGGATTAAAAAGATTTGTTCATTTATTTGAAAGGCAGTTACTGAGAGAGAGGGACAGAGAGACAGAGGGAAGAGAGATTTCATTGGCTCATTAATGACACAAATGGACACGATAGGCAGGCAGGGACCAGGCTGAAGCTAAAAGTCAAGAACTCCACCCAATTCTCCCGAGTAACTGGTAGGTATCCAAGTACTTAGGGCAAGATCCACTACCATCCCAGGTGCATTAGAATTAAGCTGGGTTGAAAACAGATCAGCTGGGATTTGAACTGACACTGCAATATCTGAATACCAGTATTGTGAGTGGTGGCTTAACCCACTGCAAAAAACATCAGTCCAGAGGGTACAACCTTTAAGAAATGACCTTGCTTTTCTCTTGAGATTTCTTCATCTAAGAAACTGAATAATTACTTCTACAGCCAACGTTTCTGTATCTTAGATTTCTTTATATCTTAGGTTGCTTTGAGGACTCAGTTAACTTACACAATCATCCAATATATATTCAATAAATGGTAGTCCATATTAATAAGCCAACATCATGAAGGAGACAATGATTAAGAGAAAAGCAGGAACGAGAAAGAAATTAAGAACCATATAACAGCAGTGAAATTTTGCTGTATTGACAACTATCATTAATGAAGTGTTTGTAAATACATAATACGGAAGATCCATTCAACTCAAGGGTTGGCTTCACCTACCATGAAGAGATTATTGTGTGCTTGTCCACTGTCTCCACAGGATGAAATAGGAGAATCAGGTCTACCAAAGGTGCTTTCTTGAGTAGCCCGTTGCTCTGGGACGGGCTCATATAAGCTATCCATAGACCCCTCCTGTAATAGAGATATTTGTAAGTCAAAGAATAAGAGAATAATATGTCAAAGAATAAGAGAATAATAATTTTCCTTGAGAAGCTACCTAAATTATCTATATACCTTTATATACTACAACATTTGAAATCCTAGACATAGAGATTAAAAGTTGAGGGTAACAATGAGCAAGACAGTAAAGAAAGACCTTCTCATCACTTACATAGAGTCAAGAATTCAAAGGGGGAGGTATATAGAAAATGAAGCACTTCCTCAAGAGGCATAAGGAAGACATTAAATTCAAAGCACAAAATTAGGCCCATTTAAGATGCCAATAAACCATGCTGGGCATAGGTTTTAGTCACATGTATATCTACCATGTCCTTGTATAAGAAACACAATCTGCTGTACTTATGCACTTTCTCATTCTCTCACTCTCGTTCTTGCTCTCTCTCTGGCTCTGGCTCTTGCTGTTTTAGTTTATTAATTTATCTGAAGGCAGAGAGACAGAGATATTCCATCTGCTGAAGTCACTCCCCAAATGCCTGCAGCAGCCAAGGCTAGGCTGAGCTGAAACCAAGAGCCTGGGATTCAATCCAGGGCTGCACATGGGTGACAGTGACCCAAACACTGTAGCTATCACCTGCTGTCTCATTCTTGCATATTAGCAAAAAGCTGGAATCAGAAGCTTTCTCCAAGGTAAAACAGTAGTTTTATTCACCTTACAGAGGAACCCAAAGGATACAATGAACACAATGCATTGTAGGAAACAGCAAAAAGTACTTCATTTTCCAAGAACAGTCAAGGCATTAATAGTAACTTTAGATATTAGTGAAATAATAGTTTGTTTTTTTCTTTTTAAAAAGATTTATTAATTTATTTGAAAGGCACAGTTACAGAGAGAAAGAGGCAGAGAAAGGAAGAGAGATCTTCCATCCACTGGTTCACTCCCCAGATGGCCACAGCGCCAGGAGCTTCTTCCAGGTTTCCCATATGGGAGCAGGGGCCAAGGACTTGGGCCATCTTATACTGTCCTCCCAGGCCATAGCAGAGAGCTGGATTGGAAGTGGAGCAGCCGGACTGGAACTGGTGCCCATATCAGATGTCAGCACTGCAGGCAGTTGCTTTACCTGCTATGCCATGCGTTGGCCCCTTGTTTTTATGCTCCAATGGAAGAATGAATTCTAAAATGCATGAATGTGGATTTCAAACCATGGCAAACTACATTGTAATTCTTCTTTGTATTTGTGAACCAAAGGTATTAACTAAATTGACTTTCTTTTTAGAAATTGGTTTAATTATGACATCATCTGCAGTATTCTAAAAAGAAAGAGATACTTTATATATTGCAAATTTCTAGCTATTAATTATTTATAATGCTGATAATGACATTGTCAACATAAAGATCTTCTGGATTATGAAAAAATTATGTACAATTTTTAAAACTTAGCACTTGGGCGAGCATTTCGCCTAGCAGTTAAGACATGTACCACATTAGAGTACTTGGGTTCAAGTCCTGGCTTTGATTCTTAATTCCAGATCCTGCTAATGTAGAACCTAGCAGGGAGCAGTGATGGTTTAAGTAACTTGGTCACTGAACCCATGTGGGGGACCTGGACTGAGTTCCCAGCTATTGGGTTTGGCTTAACATAATCCCAGTCATTGTGGGTATTTGAGAAGTGAAGCAGACAATGGGAGTTCTGTGTGTGTGTGTGTGTGTGTGTGTGTGTATGTCTATGCCTCTCAAATAATATAATAATAATACTTTTTCAATGCAGTACTGATTTTGAATATGTTCTCACCCTAAAATATATATTTTATGAACATATAAGGAAAAATTGAATGCACTGTCTAAGTTGAGATCTTTCAGCAAATATGCTTTGCAGTTTACTATCTTAAGTACCCTCTGTTCTAAACACATGGCAAATTATTGGGAAAGCGATAAAGAGTTTAAGACATGGGTGTTGTAAAATACATAACATATATGGAAACCCAGGCCCTAACAGAAACACAAAGTAGTGAGTATGACTAAAACTTTGAGCCTGCCAATCCCCCATCCAAAACCAAGCAGCATTAACTAAATCTTAAGTCCTACTGGGAAGCACAGAACAGAAGCCCTCCACGTAAAGCACACTCCATACTGACATCTGGGGGCTGCAGCGGCACACACAGCAAAGGAAGCTGAAAAATCTGCTGCCAATATTTGCTGAAGCTCTTACTGATAAGAAGCTGAGAACCAGAAAACCAACTTCAACAACAGCCAGCAGGGGTTCAGTGTTTGCATCAATAATACATCCAGGGGCCGGCGCTGTGGCACAGCGGGTTAAAGCCCCGGCCTGAAGTGATGGCATCCCATATGCCCAATGGTTCTAGTCCTGGCTGCTCCACTTTCGATCCAGCTCTCTGCTATGGCCTAGGAAAGCAGTAGAAGCTGGCCCAAGTCCTTGGGCCCCTGCACCCATGTGGGAGACTCGATAGACGCTCCTGGCTCTTGTCTTCAGATCGGCACAGCTCTGGCTGTTGCGGCCATCTGGGGAGTGCACCAGCAGAAGGAAGACCTCTGTCTCTGTCTCTACCTCTCTCTGTAACTCTGTCTTTCAAATAAATAAAATAAATAAATCTTAAAAAAAAATGCATCCTTACATCCCTCTGAGTGAGGTCTCTGGACCTAAACTGGGGTCTCAGAAAGACCTGAACTTATGTCTCAAAAGTCAATGGAGAAAGGCAGAGAAGCCAGGAAGAGGGAGAGAGATGAGGCAGAGAGAGAGGGATCACTCAAAAGTAGCCAAAACACACAAAGAAATTAAATTGTGAGAATGAAGGACAACTGAATTGACAATCGGAAAATAAGACCAATTCATTCCAGATGAAATTAAAACCATAAAATCCATGGAAAAATAATTAAAGAAAGAGAATTTATCATCTATACAGAGCTAAATGAAAAAGTGACATCCAGTTAAAAATGCATTATGATGTAACCAAAACAGAGAGGAATGAACAGGAACCATGCAATGGGCACAAAAGTAAACAACTGAATTCTTAAAAATGAATAATGTAATCATGGGAAATTATATTAAAAGTTGGGATGCGGCCGGCGCCATGGCTCACTAGGCTAATCCTCCGCCTAGCGGCGCCGGCACACCGGGTTCTAGTCCCGGTCAGGGCGCCAGATTCTGTCCCGGTTGCCCCTCTTCCAGGCCAGCCCTCTGCTGTGGCCAGGGAGTGCAGTGGAGGATGGCCCAGGTGCTTGGGCCCTGCACCCCATGGGAGACCAGGAAAAGCACCTGGCTCCTGGCTCCTGCCATCGGATCAGCGCGGTGCGCCGGCCGCAGCGCGCCTGCCGCGGCGGCCATTGGAGGGTGAACCAACGGCAAAGGAAGACCTTTCTCTCTGTCTCTCTCTCTCACTGTCCACTCTGCCTGTCAAAAAAAAAGAAAAAAAAAAAAAAAAAAAGTTGGGATGCACTCCAGACTTCCCAGTGGAGGATTAGATCATGTGGACGAGCTCACCCAGGGTGCAGCGTAGAAAGCAAGTGAAACACACCCATAAAGTATAGCAGGCAGATTAGGAGACAGCCACATAGGACTAATAAAAATCCTAGATAGATAAAATGATGGGATTTTCTTGTTGATATTTGAAAACAAAAGATTAATTTTACTTACTAGCATAATTCCAAAAATCCTAAATTCAAGATTAACAAAATTAAATGTACTAGTGTATAAATAAATACATCATTTCCAATCCATGTTTAACACGGGTATATAAGGATTTTTTTAAAGATATATTTACTTATTTGAATGGGATAGTTTATAGAGAGAGAAAGAGACACAGAGAAAGAGATTTTCCACCCACAGGTTCACTCCCAACAATTCCGCCATGGCTGAAGTTGGGCCTGTCCAAAGCCAGGAGTCAGGGGCTTCTTCTGGATCTACCACATGGGTGCAGGGGCTTAAGGACTTGGGCCATCTTCCACTGCTTTCCCAGGCCATTAGCAGTGAGCTGAACTGGAAGTGGGGCAACCGTACTTGAAGTGGCATACTTCTAGGATGCCAGTGTTGCAGGCAGCGGCTTTACCCAAGCTATTCCACGATGCCAGGCATGATAACATAGATATTCAAAGGAAAGTATATCTCAAGAAATATTCTAAGGCCGGTGCCGTGGCTCAATAGGCTAATCCTCCGCCTTGCGGCACCGGCACACCGGGTTCTAGTCCTGGTCAGGACACCGGATTCTGTCCCGGTTGCCCCTCTTCCAGGCCAGCTCTCTGCTGTGGCCTGGGAAGGCAGTGGAGGATGGGCCCGACCTTCGGCCCCGCGCCCCCATGGAGACCAGGAGAAGCACCTGGCTCCTGCCATAGGATCAGCTCGTGCGCTGGCCACAGCGCGCCAGCCGGCGGCGCCATTAGAGGTGAACCACAGCAAAGGTGAAGACCTTTCTCTCTGTCTCTCTCTCACTGTCCACTCTGTCCTGTCAATTGTATCAGATAGATAAAACATAATATTCTAAGGTATTTGAGAAATTTACCATTTACCCATGACAGAACCGTAGCAAACTGCAAGCAGACAGGCATTACTTAACCTCTTTAGGGTTATCTCTTAAAATCTTCAGGAGGATTCACAAATGTTAGGAATGAGACTAGAATGCCAGCCATCATAGCATTCTTATTTGTTAGGGTCATAAAGACAGAGAGAAGTTGAGATTAGCAAAACTGCTGAAAAAAAGAGGAAAATGTATATATTATTTGCATAGAAAATCACAGACCTCCAGGACTTTTTAAAGTCGCAGAATTAGTTATTTGTAATAACAATTATAATTATCTAAAATCTATCTACAAATGGGCAAAAACAAACTAGGAAAATAATTTGTGTATGGCAGCCAAAATTCTTAGATACCCTAGCAGTTGAATTTGACAAATTATGTGTGAGAATGTTTATGGAGTCAATTATTATTAAAGGCCATGAAATAACTGCATAAATGATGGGGCCTATGCTGTGCTCAGCAGTTAAGCCTCTGTGTGTGAAGCAGGTGTCCACATAGGCACCAGTTAGAGTCTCATCTGTTCCACTTCCCATCCAACTCCCTGCTAATGTTCCTGGAAAAGCAGGAGAGGATGGCCCAAGTGCTTGGGCCCCTGCCACCCATGTCAGAGACCTGGATAAAGTTCCAGGCTCCCAACTTTGGCCTGGCTGAGTCCTGGCCACTGTGATCATTTAGGGAGTAAACTAGCAGATAGAAGGTGTATCTCTCCCTCTCTCTCTCTTTCCTCTTCCTCTGTAACTCTGCCTTAAAAAAAAAAAACAACAAACATATTTTATTTATTTGAAAGACAGAGTTAGAGAGAGAGGTAGAGACAGAGAGAGAGGTCTTCCATCCACTGGTTCACTTCCCTGATGGCTGCAACAGCTGGAGCTGTGCCGGTCCAAAGCCAGGAGCCAGGAACTTCTTCCGGGTGTCCCATGCAGGTGCAAGGGCCCAAGGACTTGGGCCAGCTTCTACTGCTTTCCCAGGCCATAGCAGAGAGCTGGATCAGAAGAGGAGCAGTGGGGACTAGAACCGGCACCCATATGGGATGCCAGTGCTTCAGGGCAGGGTGTTAACCCGCTGCACCACAGCACCGACACTGTAACTCTGCCTTTAAAATAATTGAATAAGTCTTTTAAAAAATAATTGAATAAATGAAAAACTACATATGTTTGTGGACAGTAGAGTTCAATACCATAATGAAATCAATTTCCCTAAAATTATATAAAATTCAAATCTATTTTAATCAAAATGCCACCAAAGATTTTCATATACTTTGACAATGTTTCTAGATTTATGTAAAAGAACAAGAACATTAAAACAAATTTTGAAGAACAAAGAGAATTCTTTGAATAAAATATCTATTTGGCATTACAATTATCTTCATAGATATTTTAAACAGAAATATGGATAAACCAATGGCATATAATAGATAATCCAAATAGAGAGGAAAGCATTTCAAGTCACTGAAGAAATGGTGCAGGGATAATTGATTTGTAACCTCAGGGGTCACAAAGTCATGTTCAACTCAATAACTATGTGATGAGCTCAACAGGAAAATCACCTTGCTTCAAATGAGCAAGCTTTCTAAAAGCTTCCTCACTAGGTAAAACTCTAAGAAAGATTATGGAGTCAGAGTGGCGTATATAAAAGGGGTTCCCTGCCTTTTCTAAAGGTAGCCCCTCATTGCAAGTTTATAGATCCAAAATAATAGCAATCACCTTTAATGGATTATTTATAGTCTCCTTAATTCAGAGTAGGAAATTCATTAAGTTTCTGCCTTTATACTTCTCTTAAAAATCCCATTTACCCAAAGATTTACAATTTCCCCCTACACTTAAATAAGAGGATGTTTAACTCTTTCATTCTATACTCAGCGGTAATCTTTATGTGTTATTTAATGTTCAAATCACTGCTCCTCTGAGATTTAAAGGTCTATCTAACCTATCTATCTCTCTGTGTGTGTGTGCGTGTAGTTTTAAATTCTGTAATCTGTCTTGCCTCTAAATCAGTGGTTTTTATTGTCTTTTCTTAAATTCAGCATCCCATATGTTCACATTTCTACAGGCACAGATAAAATATGTTTTGTATTATGCATAAATTCTTGGTGAAAGCTGTACCACCACCTCTTTTTCACAGTTCATAACAGCACAGTAGGGTGTCACAACATCCTGGATGAGAACCCATGCGCTAAATGATTTTACTTATTTATGCCAAAAGAAGGAAGAAAAATAACCGAAATGGTTTTGATTTTTTTTCTTAAGTACATTGTGTACATATTCTTACTAAAGCAATTAATTTTAATGATACACAAATTTTGGTATCCTGGAACAAAATATTCCCAATGTTCAGAATGGTTTAGTCTAATCAAATATGTTATGGAGCAAATAATTTCTTAAGAACAACTTTAAGAGAAAGGAAAGAGTCAGTTTCATTGATCCATGATCCAGGACTTTGAAGCAAGCTTTTTAAAGTATGCGCTTCCTTTCCTATATTACAGAGAAAGACAATCGTGCTCATTATATGGTTATATGTCTTTAGCAGCAGGATTACAAACGTATGCCATGCTATGCTATGCTATGCTGAACCATGTTGTTATAAAACATTAGCATACTGATTATACTAACATCCAAAGTGATTTCAGAACACAATTGTCCTTTGTTACACTGCCTATTTCCATGGGAAGTATATTCATATAAACCACACTCATATAAACCATATAGGCCTTTTAGAATAACTAGAAAAGAATGCACCATAACACTTAAATCACCTGAAATGGAATTTCTCCAGTCAGATTGATACGGCACAAAGCAAAGTTGAGGCCTGGAAGTTATTTTGTAAATTGGACTATATAAGCAACTCAAACTCGATGATTCAGCCTTCCACAACTCACAATGGCATTTTACTTTTCAAGATGCTCTAAGATTAAATCCCCTATCTGGGCTTAAAATGCCTCCTGTTTAGGTATTGTAACGCACGTCAGTACCATCCCTAGCACTTATGGTAATCTTATTTGCAATTTGGAAAGAAAACAAACATCAAAAGTAGAGCATTTTATTTTCCCAGATGAGAGGGATCTCCCATCAACAGCTTGAAAACCCAGTGAATAGACATGATGTCCTGCTGTAAGCAGAGATAGAAATGAATAAAATTATTTTTAAATCCATTTTAAGCATTGGCAGATGTGCACAATTGCAGGTTAGAATTATAAACTATATCCAGATCTATGAGTACCTGATAACTTTCCCTGATCTACTTCAGGCTAAAGGGAAAAAAAATAAATAATTTTGAAAAAAGAATCTGGGAGGTGTATATATCCTTGAGTGAGCGCATCTTCAGGACTGGATTAATCTATTGTACCCTTATATATACAGTGCTATGTAACTCAGAAAACTGCCTCCATGGAAGTTTAACCAAGCCAACAGGGAAAGGAATTCATTACTCAAACAATAAGGGAAAAAAACTTGATTTCTGGATGTCTAAAAGCAAGGCAAGTAACTCAAATGCAGCATATTTGGCATACTTTTTCTCATAGTCATAACAAACAGAAGATAGTTCCTCAGAAACCAACATTCACAGAAGATCGTGCTTTAAAATTAGGCATCAGACACGTTAAACAGCCAGTAATTATTATACATGATTGAATTTTTAAAAATTCCTTGTGTCTCAATAAATTTGGATCAATGCTTTAAAGTAAGTGTCCTTTCTATTCTTCCATGTGAACTGTCTTATGAGATGCTAAATATGTTAATGTTATCATACTGGAAGTTTAAGATACATTCATTTCTTTAATTGACACAATAGAATAAAATTGAAAACATAAATGGCGCATGTAAAGGAACTTACCAGTGAGAAGCAGAAAAGATTCATTTTGGTCAGCTTCAGTCACTCGCTGCTGTGCTTCAAACAATACGATTGCCACTGGTAGCTCTCTCGCTTGCCTTCACAGCTGTTTGGACAGTACTCATGGGAGATTATTACAAAGTCAAATCCCTGACATAATCCGGGGGATTCAGAGACCATTACCAAATGACATAGGTCTTTATTGAACAAATAATTTCCTAAATTAATAAAGAATCTTGACTAATAAAATGAAAGAATTAGACTTACCATGGTCTGTGTAAACAGTTTTAAAGGTGACAGTGATACTTCTAAAATAAGGAGGAAAACTGTAGTGAAAACTATAGGCTGACTTAATTAGAAATATGAAGCAAACCAATATAAAATTATCAACATCCTTTTAAAAGTAGTAGATGAAGGTTCTACCTCATGCTCCTTTCTAACTTCCATCTTCTCATCTCCTACAAAAATATTTGATCCCTTACCTGAAAAGATAATTAGGGCACCTGTCTGGTGACAAAATATACATATTAGAAAATTTACTGTTTTCACTATTTTAAGTGTACATTGTTGTGATATTAAGCTTATTCATATAACAATATGCAAACATCACTGCAATCCATCTCTAGAACTTTTCAACCTTTCTTAACTGAAAATTCTGTCTCCTCCTTAAATACCATCTCTCCATTCTCCCCTTCTTCTTCCACCCAGAAACTACCATTTTACTTTGTGTTTCTAAAAATTTGATGACTCTAGGTATCTCACAAAACTGAAATCATGAACTATTTGTCCTTTTGTAACTGGCATATTTCATTTAACAAAATATCTTTAAGGTTTATCTAAGGTGTAGCATGTGTTAGAATTTCCTACTTTTTAAAGACTGAATTATGTTCCATTTATATATACACCATATTTTGTTTGTTCATTCATTGATTGGTAAACACTTGGGTTCCTTCTATCTTTTAGTGATTAGAAATAATGATCCTATGAACATGGGAGTAAAAATATCTGAACAGGCCTTGTTTTCAGTTCTTTTGGGTGCATCACCAGGAATGGAATTATTTCATATGGTAATTCTATGTTAATAAGTAACCACCAAAATGTTTTTCACAGTGACTGCACCACTTAACTTTCCCACCAACACAGTATACAAGTTCTAATTTCTCCAATCCCTCACCAACAATTGCTATTCTCTGGGTTGTATTATTTTGTTTTTTTATACTAGCTATCCACATGGCTGTGAACTCAGTTCTTATGATTTTTATTTGTATTGGCTTAATGATTAGTGATGTATTTATTGGTCATTTTTATAACTTCTATGGATAAATGTTTATGGATGCCATTTTTCATTTTATCAAGTTATATGTTATTTTGTAGATTTGTTGCAGTTTTTAAATATATCTTGTTGTTCAATCTCTTGTCAGATATATAATTTGTAAATGTGTTCTATTATTAAGTTCCCTTTTCATTCTTTTGATACACAGAAGTTTTTAATTTTGAAGAAGTCTAATGTATCCAGTTTTATTTTTGTTGCCTATACTTTTGATATCATATCCAAGAAGTCATCGCCAAATTCACTGTCATGGAGATTTTCCATGTTTTCTTCTAAGGCTTTAATAGTCTTGGATCTTACTCTCAGTTACCTATTTTGAGTTAATTTTTGTACATGGTGGAAAGTAAGAGTTTAACTTCATTGCGCATCTCCTATTTTTTCAATATCATTTGTTAAAAAGACCATCCTTTATCCATTGAATGGTCTTGACACCCTTGTTGAAAATCATTATATAAAAGGGTTTCTCTCTAGGCCTTCAGAACTATTCCATTGATCCATATGTCTGTCTTTATTCTAGAATCATACTATTTTGATTACTGTAGCTTTATAGTAAGTTGTGAAATTAAGCTCTCTTTATGCTCTTATTCCATCTTCACACAAACAACTCAAAAAGTGTTATTCCTATTTTAAGGATTAAAAAAAAAATGGGCCTCGGGAAAAAAGTAACTTTTCCAAGTAAAAAAAAAAA